TGGTCTCCAGCTGCTGTGTATGCTACAAAGGACTCAGGTGGCTCAGCTCATGGGAATAGCTCTTCAGTCTTAGAGCAGTCAAAACCTATTCTCCATTTTCACTTTCCCATCATATTAACAGCTCTTCTCTCTGAGCTTTCATTTCCACCCAGGTGTGATGGGTAAAACCTCCACTTGCCACCTCCATTTCCAGAGAGCACCAGCACAAGGAGGCTTTTGAATACCCCTTCTTCTGCTTCTCACTCCACTCCTGACACCAGATGTTTTCAGTAACTGCTCAGCTACGAGTTGCCTGGGGGAACTCAGCTTCACACAGCATTCATGTCCTACCTGCTCAGTGCTGGGTACCACCAGCAACTGCTCCAGCACAGAGTAGAGCCCCTTCGAAGAACAATTCTATGTATACAGACCATGAACTCCCACAGGAGTATACCAAACCCAAAGAGAGTACTACATGGAGGCTCTCAAGCCCACATGGATGACATCTGAAATCAGTGAACTGGGATAGATGAATGCTTCCTGAAGAGATTGATAGGGAAATACTCTGCTACTCCATGTGCAGCATCCCCAAGAGTGAAGCCCTGCATGACTCTTGTACAAAGCTGATGGGAGGCAGCAAAAGTGCTGATGGGCAACATAGCCCAGCTGCCAAAACCTGCACCAGTACTAAACACTGAGAGCATGAAAAAGAGTCGATTTGGCTCTGCTCTGGAAGACAAGGATTTATGAACACCCAGGGACCAGAAGTATGATGAGCAGGGAGCATGATGATGCTCAAGCATTGAGGATGCTCAGGAGAGAAAGAAACCAAACAGGAACTGAATATAAATGACTAGTAACTGTCCAGAAAACAGCTTATCAACAAGGGCAGAAGGTGAAAGAGCAGCATTATTTCACTGTAGAAGTTACCCACTGAACCCAGAAGCCCTAAATACCCCCAGCTTTTGTTTAAATTAGTGCTTATCCTCCACTTTGCCTGGCAACATTCAGAGTGACAAGGAAATTGTCACAGCACTGAAATGGGAGGAAGGCAAAGATGTGCACAAGTTAAGACTGCCCTTTTAGGAAGGCCAACAAGCCTGGCCTGCAAATGCCACATGTGCTCATTAAGAACCTTTTCATATTGTACCTGTTTCCTTTTCACACATACAGGTCTAGGCTGGGAGGAGATAATGGCTGGGGGGGAAGAGGAGTTTTCCTTTGGTCAGGAGAGTAGCTGAGGTGAACTGTGTTGAATAGCCTCATTACCCAGGGCTCCCTCACCTCCAGTTTTGCAGTCAGTGATTGGACTTGCTCTTTGTTTAACAAACTATCTGCAGGAATGATCTGTGGATATCCTGGTCAGCAAGTCTAAGGAAAGATCACAATCACAGGGCCAAATGCTGTGATACAAAACAAATGTCAGATAAACCCCACTAGATAAACCTCTGCATACTGCATACAAGTGCTTTCATCTGCAAGACATGTGCTTGGCCATTTAGATGGGCCATAGCAACTCCCCACATTTCCACAGGGAAAAATCCACGTGTGTTCCAGAGTCCAAAGGCCAAAACCTTTGTTTAGTTCCCTTCATCAGATAGATGATGAGCATTTTTGCTTTTAAGTATAGATAGAAATGTATTTATGGGAGGCAGCACCTGCTCCATTGGCCTTGTCCCTCTATACCTGCAAGGCTGATTCATAGAGGCCAACACAAAGAGTACCTGGGTGTGCATCCAGAGAACCATGGAATCACAGAATATGCTGAGCTGGAAGGGACTAACAGGGGTCATCAAGTCCACCTCCCGATCCTGCACAAAACCATCCCCAAGAGACACACCATGTGCCTGAGAGTATTGTCCAAACACTTACTGAACTCTGTCAGACTTGGTGCTGTGACCACTTCCTGGGGATCCTGTTCCAGTGCCCAAACACCCTCTGGGGGAAGAAACTCTAATATCCAATCTAAGCCTCTCCTGACACAACTTCAGGCCATTCCCTTGGTCCTGTCACTGGTCACCATGGAGAAGAGATCAGTGCCTGCTCCTCCTCTTTCCCTCACGAGGAAGTTGTAACTGCAGTGAGGTCTCCCCTCAGTCTCCTCCAGCTGAACAGACCAAGTGCCCTCAGCCGCTCCTCATACGGCTTCCCCTTGAGGCCTTGAGGAAGCTCACTAACAGCTTAATATCTTTCTTATATTGTGGTACCCAAAACTGCCACAATATTCCAGGTGAGGCCACCCCAGTGCAGAGCAGAGCAGGACAATCCCCTCCCTCGATCAGCTGGAGATGCTTTGCCTGATGTCCCCCAGGACAGGGTTGGCCTTCCTGGCTGCCAGGGTACTGCTAACTCATATTCAACTTGCCATTGACCAGGACTCCCAGGTCCCTTTCCATGGCATTGCTCTCCAGCCTCTCATTCCCCAGTCTGTCTGTACATCCAGGTTTATGCCTCCCCAGCTGCAGAATCCAGTACTTCCCCTTGCTGAACTTCATATGGTTAGTGATTATCCAGTCCTCTAATTTGTAGCATCTCTTCCAGTTCTGCACCCAAGTCATTTATGAAGGGCCTAAGAAGGGGCCTTGTGGAACCCCACTAGTGACAGGTCACCAGTCTGATGTCACCCCATTCACTCTCACCCTCTGTGCTTGACCCGTGAGCCAATTGCTCACCCACCACACGATGTGTTTATCCAGCTGTGGGCTGGACATTTTGTCCAGGATACTGTCAGAGACAGTATCAAAAGCTTTACTGAAATTCCAAAAGATTACATCAACTGGCTTCCCCTGATCAACCAGGTGATTTACCTTGTCATAAAAGGAAATCAGGTTTGATAAGCAGGACTTTCCTCTCATGAATCTGTGCTGGCTGTGACCAAAGACTGATTGTCTTTCAGGTGTTTTTCAATACCTCCCAGAATAATCTTTTCCATAACTTTTCCAGGCACTGAAGTGAGACTGACAGGCCTGTAGTTTCCAGGGTCCTCCTTCTTGCCCTTCTTAAAAAAATCGAGACAACATTCACCAGCTTCATTTGTCAGCTTTCACACAGTGCTGTCCCAACTTCTGTGGCCACTGGTGAGGAGCAATGACCCCAGAACTATCAGTTATTTCACAGGACTCTTGTGAATGAGGTGAGAATCATTAACATTGCTTTACAAGCAACAGTGTTTCTTGCCCAAAGGCTTACAGGTGTCCCTTGAGGAATGGGCAAATAATGTTATTTAGCTTTACTAACAAAACTCCTACAACACACAAAACTGGAGCTCAGCTTTCATGAAATCTTGCAGTAACTTCATGTTCCAGCCCAAGCACATATGGAGTCATGGTAAGGTCTCAGCCTATGGTGGCTTGGTGTGAGCCTGCAGGACAGAAAGGCAGCCTGTGCCCAGCCAGAGGCTTTGGCATGCACCATAGGTGCTCCAAGATGCTCAAAACAAGAACCTCTTATTTCCTTCTCTTCCTGGCAGAAAGTTCCTCCAAACCTCTGCCGCTGCTCAGTGAGACCAAAGCTGGGGCAGGGGACATGTTCCAAAGGCAAACATCAGCCACCAGGGTTTGGGGTACAAGAGAGTTAGATCCTCCCAAAAAACCAGCCTGGGCACTGAAATGTTGCATTTCTCCCCCCAGATGAAATACAAAAGCCTAGCAGGGTGGACACATGAGTGTAACATGTTCCTGGGTACAAGGCTGATAAACAGTCATGAAGACTGAAAACTGGAAAAATAGATTGCAAGCAATACATAAGGTCAAATCACAGTGCAGTAGCACTAGGAGAAGACATCCAAGAGGAGTTTGTGTGAAATTTCTGGATTGTTCACTGTAGGTTTGAGATACCAAAACTGCTGCAAACTTGAGTTGCATGGGACAGACTGAATACTACAGGATCTCACTGCTGGCATCAGATGGAAAACAATCTCTTTGTGGGACAATATATGCATAAAAGCACAGCTTGTTGTATAACTCAGTTTTACATATACATAAACATATACACTTTTTTTTTTTAAGGACACTGTTCCATTGCCACCACTGTATGAATCTGTAAATTTTCTGCTGAGGCAGTAGGACTGCACCGAAAATGAGTGATACTCTCTAGATGCACATATAAACAATATACACCCACGCACCCAGGGAGCATGAGCAACACCAAATACCTGTTCAAGCACTAAAAAACACTTCCATGGGCATTTCTTCAGGATATCATGGTGGCCTGTGGGAGTGATTCAGTGAGATCTTAACACTGCTCATGCTTAGCATCTGGTTCCCTTTCAGATGTAACATTTACACAGACAAAAAGTAAAAAAAAAAAAAAGAATATGAAGTTTGTACCTTTTTTTTTTAATCCAGGCTCGAAGAACCTGTCAGTCACAGCCATGAATCACATAAAAACAAAACTAATGCTACAATAAATTTCTGTTTCCCGTAAGAGAAAAAACACAGATGCTGATATGAAACACGGTGGGAATATTGCAACTGTCTCACTGAGACACTGAATTCAGACCTGTCAGCTCTGTGGTACACAGATTGTACACAGTGTTGGCTTGAAAATATCACTCTTCAGCCACATCCTGGCTCCCTGCTGTCTCCATTCCCCAAGGTTCAGCTTATAAGGTAGAAAACCTGTAGGCACTGGCTTCGAGCAGCAGTTCCTACAGACCACCTTTCAGAAGTCTGGGTGACTGCTGAGGTGATCGTTGCGTCTCAGTGCCCTGCTCAGAGGAGAGAGACCAGGAAACCTGTGCATTCAGGGCTGGGAGCACCCCCAGTGCAGCCACACAGGGTGAAACTACCACCCTGATTTCCAGACAAACACCTGCCAAACAACAGCAAACGCCGCTGCTCGAGTTCCTGGGAACCCAGCGTGTCTCAAGTGTATTTCAGACTGTTAAAGCATTAGTAAAGGGCTTTGCTTCCCTGAAGAGGGCTCTCCGCCTCAGTTTATATAAACAACGTGATGGTTTTACAATATCAGGAAGCGGAAAAAAAAAAGAAAACAACAAACCAAAACAAGACAGACGATACCTGTTGTAACTCCATCTACTGTAAGACATGTTCCTGTTGCTGCTGACACTATCCATCTCCGGCTCAGCTACAGCACTCCCAGCATTGCTCGTCTCCCGCAGGCACCGGCTGCTGGGCTTGGAATTCAAACACCTTTCTGCAGACGGGCCCGCCGTGGGGATGCGAGCAGACGCCTCCGGCCTTCCGCGGCAGGACCGAAATTCATCGCGGAGCAGCGGCTTCGCATCCAGCTCTGGATGCTCGGAGCAAACCACTGTCAGCGCAGGGAGGGAGGGAGGGATGAAGAGAGGGGGAGGCTCCTGGGGTCCCTGCCGAGGGGACCCGGCGGCAGGATGCTCTCAGCCGCCCGGCAGACACGAAGACGCTCAGGTAATAAACTGGAGCAAGGGTGCTAAGCTGCTTAAGAGATATTCAGCGAGCCTGTGCTGAGGAGTGCAGCAGCTTGTGCGCCTCCTGCTCCAGCACACACGCCTTATTTATTTATTTATTCTGGTTGCCACAGATACGGGTCCAGCGCTCTGACATCAGCCGCCTCCCACCCACCACCGGTCCTTGGGTCTCGCCAACATGATCTCCAGGCAGGCACCGATCACATCCCCGCATGCGGGGTCAGCGCTGGGAGCCGGCTGCGCTCAGGCAGCTCCACGGGATCATCTCCCCTCCCGGGGCATGGCCTTGCCGCTCATCCTCCCGCAGCACTCTCTGCAGCCCGTGCCTGGCAGGTGGGTGTACAGGCTTCTCCAGGGGCCACTCAGAGTTCAGAAAAAACGCTTTGCACACCCCATTTCAGTCACCGTTTTTCAACAGCCCATGGCCCCAGTTCGTCCCAGAGCTGCAGCAGCAATGTCACAGCCCTCCAGCCTCAACGTGACCCTGGCCTTGGGTGCAGGACTAAAAGCCAAACGAAAGCACTTCATGGCTCCTGCCCTGAAGTGTCCCTGGTGGTAACCAGCAGTGTTCAGTGCCAGGGCCTGTGGGTCTCTCATTTCACCTGCCAGCTGCAGGAAGCACAGGGGATGCAATGCTCCCAGGTGCCCACACCTGCCCACTGCTGGGAATCAAATCTTTCCTGCTCATTGAAGATTTTCTGATTAGTTCTGATAACCACAATATGAGGGGACTGTGCAAGAGTAGTTAAAACTGAAACACTTTACCAAAACAACAAAACAAAAACAACAAAAAACTTTCTTTAAATTAACTTGTGGTTTTCCTGTCATGAAAAGAAAAGTTAAACAGAGCTTGTCCAGCACCTTTGCCTTTTCAAGAGGCTTTATTACAGCTCTGCCTTCAAACTGTGCAGTGGTTTCTTGCATCTCTTCTTAAAATATTTTCTTGCTCTCAGCTTCCCTGTGTCACGAGATTGTGAAGTTTGCATGGCTGTGCAGTGTCAGGATCATGACCCTCTGCACGGGGCATCCTTCACAAATCCTACCAAAGAGCAAGGCTTACTGATGGTGCTCTGAAGACAGTCCCAGGACAAGGATGTCTGCAGAGTCAGGTGTAGATAGACACAGGTTTGTTTCTCCAGATGCTGGTTCAGAACTGCCAAGACCTTGTGGTGCACAGCACTGCTCAGGGCACCGTGCCCTGCCTGACACTTCCCTCCTGATTTAAGGAGCTATCCCTTCTCAATCTCCCATAACACCACAAGCACAGGGGGCTGCCCAGAGGACCTGACCATGCCCTGACCAAGAGAGACACTACCAGAAGCAGTGTCAGGTCAGCACAGTCACCCCTGGGGTGACCCAGGATGTCTACAATACCCCATGTGTCTACATACTGCTCTCAAACCTTTCCCAGCCAGTCTTTGGCCTGCATTGGCACCTCCTGGACCCTTTCCTCACTGCTTGGTCACCCAGGTGGCCAGCCCTGGTCTAAGCAGTATGCACTCCCAGCTCCTACATGTAAAATCTCTCAGGAGTAATTACTAAAAATCCCAAGCTTACATAACTATGGACTGGAAGGGACTTGTGTCAATGAGGCTCAATCTCTCATCTCACAAACAACAGTATCTGATGAGTGGTTTGAGGCTGAAGCTCCAGAGGCTGGTAGTGAACAGCTCCTTGAGCTCCACCCTGCCAAGAGACAGATTTCCCTTTCCTAGCTCGAAGGTATACACAGACATCTGTTATCCACTTGTACATGAAATATACAGTTCCTTCAGTTCAAGTAAATGAATACCTGTCATCAATCTTTTAACTTCCAGTCTTCATTTTCAGAGGGTGAATAGGCCAAACCCTTCATGCCTTCCCATCAGGATAGGCAGAACCAGCCTAATAGCTTTTTTCATGTATCACTTTTAACTCAAATCAAACCTTTCCTGAATATGGGTGATATTTGTCAACACTTTCAAATAGGGAAAACATCAAGCAGGTTTCCTTGGAATGGCAATTAAGATGCCCAGACTCAAGCCTTGCTCCTTGTATATACCCTGCAAGTCTGTCATCCCAACCTCTGTAACAGATGCTGTTATGTACAGGTAGCACATTCCCATTTATCTCATTTATAATCCACATTGAGTGACTTGAATGAAATGGACCATCTGAAAAGGAGGGAGTTACAGTCCATCTCCTCCACCTACCTGCTCTGCTTACCATCGAGACAATTGTAAATGGGCAAAGTGAAACCTCACCATTTACTTGCTTGTTGGATTACTTAGGCCAACATTTTTCACACGAGAGCAGCTGAAAATCACCCTGGTGAGCCCCTGTATCCCAGAGAAGCCTCTGTCAGAAGCAAACACTTAAAGGCACATCAATAAAAGCAAGGAGCACAGGTTGGCTGTTGGACTATGGGCTCTCCTCTCCACATGAGAGAAGCATAGCTCACTGGCACCTCAGGCTCCTTCTCATCATCCTGGACCAAAGCACTGAGGAGGAGAACATCAACCATGGTGGTTCGTGCTGAGACCTCCATAATTATCTTGTCCCAGCATGCTGAGGCAGGTGGGCTTTGGGTTGACCCCACTGACCCTCATGGCAAACACAGCCTTTCCAGATGAGTAACAACCCAAAACCCCACATATAAACAGAGTACCATTTTGGCAGAGCAGTGCTTGGCCTGTATCTGCTGCAGGGGATGCCTTCACACACGTAATAGGAGAAGAAGTGCTCCAGAATAAAACCAAGTGTGGTCTCCACTGCTCTGCTGCAGGTAAACAATGGTCTAAGACTTCTCAGTAAAATACTCTGGGTAGCATATTTAGCTGCCAAGGACATAACTGTCTCCCTGCTTCCTGCATATGGTTGACAAACTCCCTGAATGCAGAAATCTCCCAACTCTTCTGCTCAGGAGTTTCTCAATTCTTGTTTCACTATTTCAAAACAAACACTAATGACTGACAGTGAAGCCTTTGCCTGTGATTAACTGTGATTACCTCCAGCTCCTGGTGCAGAGCTGTGGCTTTCCTCTGCAAGTCTCCCAGCTCCACTTCTGCCCCCCCCAACCTCACAACCTGCATTGCTGACAGTATCACTTCAAACTTGAAACTTCCAAAAAGGCTTCGGTGCGGAAGCTGGGGAACTCATAAGCTAATGCAAGGTGAAGAGACACAAAATGAGATCCATGCTGGAATTCAGTCAGAAAGATAAGTGGTTGTCTTGCCATGCATTCTGCTCTGCTCCCAGCACTGCAAGGCTCAGGTCACCACGTGTTTGTGCACGGCCACATCTATGCACATCCAAACTGAGTCACAGCTGCTCCCTGTTTTGAGAAATTCCCTCTGACCACTGCAGATACAGGGACATCTCAAAGCAAGCATGTTTAATGTGGGGGAAGCAAAGGGCTAGACTTCTGGATTACAACATGTGAGTGCTGGAGCATAGAATTTCAGCTTTTAAAATTGTTGAGAGGCTGCCCGACAGAGTGCCCATCCCAGTGCTAGTAGGGGGAAAGACTGGAACTGAGCACCAAGAAAACACAAAACCTTCCTTTTTTAGGTGTTTAGTATATGGCAAGTGACCTTATCACCCAAATTAAAGTGATCTGGAATATTGGCTTGAGCTGTTGAAATACCACAGAAACTGAACTGGCAGCAGGGCTGAAGCAAACAGGCTGTTCCTGCATTTCAATGCTGGCACATACCCTGCTGCAAACAAGTGACAAACTACCTGCTGAGTCACTGGATGAAGCCTAACAGGTTTAACAGCAGAAAGTCAAGAATCCTACATAGAACAACTCAGATTAGGTATTCTAGAAGTACTCTAAGTGCACATTTTGGCATGCCCAGACAGTAATTTTCCCAGCAAAACATCGTGTTTGTGACCAACCATTTGTTCCATCATTGGGTGTCTGTGGCTGCAGAATCTGACCCTTCATTACAGTCCAGAGGTGAGCTCTGTAGAGACACAGACAGGTTCTGCTCTGCCCAGCCAGAAGGGCACTGACCAGAACAGACTATGGCATCGACTTTCCTGCTCCAAAACCTCAGCACCAGCGCGGACTTGCTAAGTGGGTGAATCACCAGGATCTCCCCTCCTATGACCAGGATCGCAGCTGCCCCACCAGGACTGCTCAGGCCGTTTTCCAGCCACCACCCCAAACAGTTCCTCAATGAGATTACGAGTCCTTCAGCAGTGCTAATTAGTGCTTATGCAAGCAAGGATTTCTTCAAGCCCCTGGGACTGCTGCCTGAAGAGGACGATGCTGCCTGGTCTGCAGGCAGTGCCCAGAGACGGGGACCTGCACAGGGGCAGTGGAGCACTAATGCCCTTCCTTTCCCTGATGCTTCTACAGAGAAGTTCCTCCCTTCCTCCTCCTGGGGGGCTGCCCCGTTGAAACTCCGACCAGCCAGTCTCCAGGTGAGGAGAAGATAAAAGGAGAGTGAGGACAGAGGAGATCTGGTCCCCTAAGCACCATTTTAAGAAGGGTTTTTTTCAGAAAAATCACCATCCCCGTGATGCACAAACACTGTCCCCCCTCCAGCAGGCAGCCGGGGGACAGTGCCAGGGTGACATTTACGAGTTACCAGCAGGAGACTATTATAACCCAGCCTGCATATCAGCTCCAAAGTCAGGTTGGATTGAACAAAACACGCATGTTTTCCTTCAATAACCAGATGCGTTTTAGGACGGCCACAGGAAAACCTCAAAAATCAGCTACAAACCCTTTCACACCTGGCAGACATCCGTGCATTCCCCTGCAGAACAAACATCTGGGCCCCATTTAGGCCTATACCTAAGCCCAA